AACTTATTAAAATACTTGCATTTATTGCGCACTATTGGACAACTGCCAAAGTTGCTATAGAATATCAGTACTGTATTATTATAGGATTGATCCACACTAAGTAAATATAATATCTATTAGTAATAGTGAGAGCCTATCTATAAGATAGAAGAAAACACATTGTGTGATGATTCTGAAGTATACTAACTACAACGAGATTAAGTAATCATAAAATTATCATCATCAGACGTTGGTTGAACATATACGTTACGATTATATCTACCAGGAACCCAATCATGACAACGTTAAAAATTGGCTTGTGATATTTTTTTAAAAAATCTCCATTAACAATACCATTTGAGAGCAAATCTTCAGGAAAAAGATTTGTGTTTTTTATGTTGTTACAAATCAACCTTGAAGCAGTTGACATTTTAGGAAAGGATGTAGTAAACTAACAAAAATAATAAGAAAATGAATCAGTTATAGGTTATCAGTTGTCTGAAATATAATATTAACGATCATTTCATAATATTAGAATTAACTTGAGCAAAGTATATTTACATTAATAAATCTTTCTTTTATTTCATTGCTATTGAACTCTACAATTGACAAGTCTTCAAGCGATTCTTCAGATTCTGTAACATTACAATCAGTACAGTTTGAACCATCATCATCACTCTCAGCACTATCACCGCAGACATTTTGATCTTCAATATCAATGACAGTGTCATCATTTTCATTATTCTCATTCGTATCTTCTTTAATCTCCATTTTCTGATATAAATACTCAATATTCTTTTCTTTTGCGCATTCTTGAACATATTTCCAGTATTTAGCAGAAGAGGGTTTTAAAGTTTCGAGGTACGAGTAAAATGCTTTTGATGTATTAATAAATTTCACATTCTAAAAGTATGCAAATATATGAAAAATAATATTAGTTTATATTGTCTTATACTGTAATGTCAATATGATTTTAAACAATCTCAGAAGAAATTATAGAAAGCTTTTTTGATATATAATTATATGACGCAAAGCTCTCGACGAGAGTGGCCCTATAATATCAGCAAAGCAAATTTCTTTTTTCTTTTTTTACATTAATATAATAATCAAAGCTTTCGACGAAAGTGATATACTATATTTAATATACATGCTGATCAGATATTTTATAGAAAATTTGATGCATGCAAGAAAAGTTATCAAACTTTTCATCATTCCAGCAAATAAGTCATCCTCGATATGTTTACTAAACACTATTTTAAAAAATGATACTTCCCTCATAGTTGTTCCTGAAAATAGCGTTAATTTGCACTACTTCATTTCTTCTAAAAGTTAATTGATTTCTCAAGGCTAAAAATATATAAAAATTGTAAATATCTTGTTGCGTTGATGAATCTTTCACTAATGCTTGGTATGACTTTATAAGAGCTTTGATTTTTTTAGTTATCATTGTTAATTTTGATAAATTGCACAACGAAAAATTTTTCACAAAAATATGTAATTAAATCTGCATGTAGAAGTTCCGTGATCTTTAAATTTATTCTGGAATTCCACTGGACATCCAGATTTTTTCAGAGATCTAGTACTAGCTATGTGCAGGGGTCGGTGCAGATCAATTAATAGATAAGTTTCTAACCAACAATCTAAAATGCGTCCAGACCAACACAAGGATGCGAATTCTCGAAGATATCAAGCAAAGTTGCGTGCTCGTGATGGAGAAGCCTCAGCAGCTGCAAAAGAAGTACAAGAAAAACGTAAAGAGCGTAAGTCTAAATCAAAAGGAACAACTTACGTTGAGTCTAGTGAAGACAATTCTGATTCAAATGAGGAAACTACCTTTGGTAAGCTATTTTTTGAAATTTTTGTTAGTTAACAATATATTTTTGTTATGAATTTATTTAATTTTCAAAACCCAGCAAAGCAACGGTCATTTCACCGTCGAAAAGTTCAAAGTAATGATTATCGTTATCAGGAGCCTAGTCAAGAAGGTATCTATTTGTAATCACCATTATCGTTGTATTGCAATAGAGTTTTATTAGCATTATTCAAAAATATTAATTAAATATTCGCAGATGAATTACGGGATGACCCGGATGGAATTGATCGAGAAACCAGCAACTTTCTGGAAATGATTAAAGATACTGGTAATATTAGTTTAATTTCATCAGTATTACTTTTCCATGGTTTTCCATTGATTTTTTTTAAATTTTCTAGAAAAGCAATCTTTTGATCCATCATCATATTTCCAATTTAAGGAGGAAAAAGATTGGGGTACAACTTCAACAACAGAAGAACGGGATCTCGATAAGGCAAGGCGCTCAATTATGATTAAGAATCTGATCTGAATTTTGCTCAGTATTTTGCTCAGTATTTTGCTCCGTATTTTGCTCCCTATTTTGCTCCCTATAAATAGGCTCATGAAAACTTGATGAGCATTCGTTTTGACTATTTAAAATTATCGTTAAGCAAAGCATCGATGACTGAACGGTTGAATATAAGTCCGGATTTAAACCTGGTAATTGTTCTTATTCATTATTGGTACATTTACGAGTTATATGATATATATGCCTTTATCTCATGGGCAGGAAGCCCAAGACATGGGTTTTATTTCGAAATTTCCAAAACCACTAGTCCCAAAGATGGTCAAAATGGATATCAAGAGAAGTTTGCTGAAAAAAGAAAATGCTGCTGGTTCTCTAGGAGAAGTTGATTCAAAGAAAGCCTCAACGCTAGAGAAAAGCAAGTACAATTATCATCTTTTATACTTTTATCTTTTTTGATCTAATTTAGGAGAATACGGTACATCTATTAATTATTTGTTATAGAGGAACAGCAGCAAATGTCTTCTACACCCAAGATGTTGATCTCTGAAAAAGCAAAAGGTAAATAAACCCGCAATCGTTCCAATTTATTTCTTTTCCTCAAATTAGTAATAAATTTGCTTCTTATTTTTCTAAAAGAAATTCCACAAAAGCCTACATATTCCTTAATGACAACACAATCTAAAAAGAAATCGCAAGACAAAAATTCAAATGCTACCACGAAAATATTGCCCAATCAAGATGATGATATTGACACTTTTCTAAAGTCAATAGATGATGATGAGAATGGTAGGAAAAATTCATCGAAATCCCATATATTTTTTATCAACTTACTCTTCAATTACATCAACAAAGACAAGCGTGATAACGTAAATCGATCCGGTAAAATCAAAAACATCACACCAACAAACCCCCAAAGAACAATGAAAACTATCAAAGGTATACAATCGACACAATACAATATCGAAACAAAAGAAGAATGGCTCGATGATATCCTTGGTTAGGTATTAATATTAACTATTTATTATTATTTATTATTGAATTAATTATTAGTTTTGTATTATTGTTAATTACTCTATGAATTAGTATATTATTATTTACAATTTTAAATAAGAAAAACGTAATAAAGAAAATAAATCGATGGTAAAAAATAGCGTCCTTTTTCGCAAAATTAGGGATTTTTGTTGAATTATAAATAAATAAATAAAAATAAATAAATATAAATAAATAGTTATTCGTTATTTTGTGCTACACTCATCGATTTTACAATCGCGTCACATGCACGCTTATAAGCTTTTACGCTTCCTTTTTGTTTCGAAAAACACAGTTTGCCGAGTTGGACTTTTATGCTTGGGTCACATATGGAAATTTCAAATAATGTGGTTTTCTCGACTTGATTTGCCTTATTGTGTATTGCTCGACGATATACGCATTCAAGAGTTGTTGAATTTTTGTAGGTATAAGAGATTCCATGTAATTGACATGCAGAAGCGACAATTGCTAGAATTTCTCCAACTGGGGTAGGTCTACATATACTATAATAGCAAGTGAACTCGCGAGCGCGTAATTTTCGTAAAATTGAGAACCCGAATCGTAATTCATGGCCCAAATGGAAAAGGTTTAACTCCATATCATGGCAAGCATCATTTATATGAATTGGTACGTGTGAATTTCTTGTGCTTTTTCGCGCGTCACAATAGACGATGCGTTTCACCTGATATGGTTTCACTTCAAGGTATTTTGATATTGAGGAATAATACGATGATGTTGTAGATGCAGGTGTTGCAAAACAAGTTGGATATAACCAAGGATCGTCATTGAGAATATCAAGAGAAACACGTTGTTCACCATCTACATTAAGTAATTTTCGAATGGTTGATTGAAGTTCATTGCTTAATATTTTTGGCATGCGATATCGACCACTACAAATTTGTTTTTTTAGTTCTCCGACCGTGGATGCCTTAAAAGGATCACCACCAGTCACCATTCTGTATAAAAGGACACCTAAGCACCAGACGTCAACCTCGGGTCCTTTGTATTTCAAGCCACAAACAATTTCCGGTGAATAATATAACATTGACCCTTTGGAAATATTGCATTATATTTTTAGTATTCGAATTTAAAAAAAATGTCACAATGAATAATAGTATAGAATAGAATAAATTACCACATAATGTCATTAATCGTGAATCATCGCTATATTTATTTGCTAATCCAAAATCTGCCAATTTTACAATTCCTTCTTTACTTATTAAAACATTCGGCGGCTTTAAGAAAAGTTTCAAATTAATATTTTTATTTTTAAATGACAGTAAATTTTATATAGTTATTTACCTTCAAATCTCTATGCACGATGTGATTCATATGACAAAATCGAACAGCTTCGACCAATTGACTAAAAATATTCCGTGCTTGTTCTTCGCCCATAAATCCTTGATGGAAATCAAGAAAAGTTTCCAGGTTATAGCCGTCAACATATTCCATTATTAAAAATACAGTGTATTTTGTTTCGATCACTTCGTATAAACGTATAATATTCTGATGGTTTAATTGTTCCAGTAGAAAGGCCTCTCGATAGAGGCGTTTAAAAATTCTTTGATCATATGCTGTCCTATCTATTATTTTTACGGCAACCTTTTTTGTAATTCGAAAAAATAAGTTTATTTTAGAATTGGTTGAATATTCACAAGATTGACAAAATTATGAAAATAAAAAATTCTTACCTCTTCTCCAGTCACAATATGCGTTGCCAAGTTTACTTGACTAAACTTGCCTACCCCTAAAGTTTTCACATATCGATATTCTCCAATTCCACTCAAAAGAATATCTGGATTATTATTGACGTAATCGTGAAAATTAACATCACGATATACAACATTTTGACGATTCAAACCAGCTGGTTTTACAGAGTGTTGAGTTTTTCCTCTCATCTTATTACTATTATTATGATTATTGTTATGATGATGATTATTACTATGATTAATAATTATATATTACGGTTTATATAAATAATAAATAAATAAATATGTACCGAAAATTATTTGGTACGCGACTAATGATTCAAATGATGGGGGCTCTATCTATATATATACAGAGAAGGAATAAGGGCGGAGGAAGAAGGAAGAAGGGAGAAGGGAGAAGGGAGAAGAGAGAGAAAATTCAAGAAAGAGACAAAGGTTAAATAAAATATTATCTCACTACAATTATTGCGTGTCTCCCAAATTTTGCGTTACGTTGCTCTTATATAAAATCGGGAGTACAAAAGTAACATAATAGTCGATAACTTTTCCTCACCTATACAGCGAATAAACTTCCTTGTATGCGTTTATGTATGCGCTATGCAAACGTGTAATAACTCTTGTCACTCCAAAAATTAACGCTCGAAATAACTGAACGATTCTTGTTGGCTCTGTATTGTACGTATTTAGGTTAGACAACAGTAGAAAATGTGTGCGCGAGCGCGCGTGTGTACACGAGAACAGATGACGAACACGAACATACAGAGATACAACTCAAAGATCTATTATATAGGTGGTGGGTGTTTATATATGCTGGGACTTTTGTTCTGCTGATAAAGCATTTAATATATATATATATATATATGCTATAGAAGCTAAAAAGCATAATATTCCTAAGAAAAAAGCACATGTGACCAATTATACTTTAAATAGAATACTGGAAGGACCAACACCGGCAACACATATCGCTCTTCTTCTACTTGGTGTGAATATTGAATCTAATAAATAAAAATATGGACATGCGTATAAATAAAATATGGACATATGCGTGTATATTGATCCGCGTGGAAGAGAGTTTATTACTTCTTATGGTCTGATCGTCCAATTGATGTAATTTATTAAAATAGCCACTCTCTGATTGGTCCCCAAAAATATGACACGAGGCACAAAATCAAAATAATCGGCCAAGAATGATCGTGTGGTCAGGCTGTTCTTTCTATTACGCTCCATACATAGATAATGGCCGGAACCGATATACGATCTGATAAAAACAATGACTCCGATCAATACCTGTCACTGTTCCATTGTTCACATCAAAAAATCTTTATCAGACAATATTATTGGTTATTTCTGTGCAGCTATTTGAGGAAAATCATTCAACTTGTCGCGTGAATGGATATCTCGGAACAAGAATTCACTTCTGTTGAAGGTCATGTTGAGGAAGAAGCTGTGGTATCAGAATTTATTTCATTATTTATTTCTTTTCATTCGGGTATTTTAGTGTCACTTATTGTTTGACCAATAAAAAAGCATTTTAGAAAAGTGCTCAACACATTCGCGCTTTATAAATCTTACGCGTTATCTTCGAATAATCGTCGCCGAACAGATTATCATTCACTTCCAGAACGGCATAAAGCTTTATTGCCTGATTACCTGGAGAAATTGAATAGAGTAGACCAAGCAATTATAAAGAATTATGAAGTGGTGAAAAAAATTCTAACAGATGACCGATTATTTGTTGAGCGAGAGAAGAGTGTAAGTCAATTAGGCATTCTATTACTATTACAAATATTATTCTGTGGATATTATTATATTTTTTATTTTTTTTTATAGGAATATTCAGCGAATGTAGAAAGTGGAACATCAGCATTTGATGAGAATAATGAAATGTCTTCAGTTTCGCCTTCTTCGCAAATAACTGATTTTGATATGGATAAGTTACGAAGTACGATCAAACAATTCGTGAGAGATTGGGCAGAAGAAGTAAGTTAAGTTATTTTTAAAAGAAGAGGATAATTATATTGAATATTATTTTGGAAACATAATTAGGGGAAAGTGGAACGTGATGCCGTGTATTTGCCACTAATAAATGAAATTAATGAATTTTTTAAAGAGGTTACTCAAGAGCAAAGGTTTGATCAAATAGTTTTTAGTAAATCTTTTTTTCATTATTTATAAGCTTTTTTCACGTTATTAGTTTTATTTCAGATCTTCAGTTCGCATCTTAGTCCCCGGTGCAGGACTAGCTCGATTGGCTTTTGATATTGCAAAATTGGGTATATACTTATTTATCCTTATTGAATTCATATACTTAAAATAATAATCAAATAACTGTTATAATTGACTATATGACGAAAGGTTATAGTTGTCAAGGTATGAAACAAACAATGAATTCGAATTATAAGTCATTTTTGAAATATTTCTAATTTATTTAATTCTATATTAATAAATTGACAGGAAATGAATTTTCGTTCTACATGGTAAATATAAAAATTAGAAATTACTTTCCTAAAAATTGCTGGCATCAGAAATTTTGAAATACTTAACTTATCGTATTATTTGAAGTTATTAGCATCACATTTCATATTGAACAGGTTAGTTTTTGATTTTCTAATTATATATCTTCGTCCATGATTATTAAGTTGGTATCACTATTTTCACAAATTTCAGAATCGAGTACATTCATCAATATGAAATCTACCCTTACATCCACTCCTTCTCTAACATTAAATCATCCGAAGACCAATTAAAGCCGGTATTTATTCCGGATATATTACCCAATGATTTACCTTCAGACACTGATTTTTCAATGGTTGCTGGTGATTTCGTCGAAGTATACGGAAGTGATGAGTATATGGGTAGGCAGGGGAAAAATAAGCGGTCTTAGTATTTTATTTTATTTTTTTGGGTTTACTCTTTCATTATATTAATTCATAATTTTTTGATATAGACAAATGGGATTGCATTGTGACTTGTTTTTTTATTGACACAGCAAAGAATATTGTGGAATACATTGAAATATTTCAACGTATCTTGAAACCTGGAGGATTGTGGATAAATATTGGTACTGAGAAAATATATTCATTTAGTTGAGGACATTCTTTATCATTTAATTTTCTTTAATCACTTGTTAATCAGGTCCATTATTATATCATTATGAAAACATGCCTGACGAGATATCGATCGAATTGAGTTTAGAACAAGTAAAGGAAGTAGTCAAAAAATTCGGTTTTGAATTTCAGGTAAAATAGATTCTTCCTACCAAATTGACTTTCTATCTATTAATTTGATATTTCTCTATTTGTATAACGCGATAATAAATAAAAAAAATATAGAAGGAAAAAATGATCAGGACTACTTATACTACAAATCCAAAAGGAATGCTCCAGTATTTATACGAGTGTGCATTTTGGTCTTGTATAAAAAAAACGCACGGTAAAACTAACGGTGATAATAAGTAGTTTGATTGTCAAAATTTAGTTAATAGATAGGAGGAGGGAAGGTAAGTAATAATAATATCTAAACTAAATTTATTCTTTATTTATCGGGGACACTCTATTTATTTAACAAGAATACATAACAAGATAATAATAATTTAAATAAGTGCCAAATAAAGCGCGGAAGCAGTAGAAAGTCCTAAAACGCTCCAGCCCGTAGCATATACTCCTTTAATTGTTAAGGCTCGGCCAGTATCCCAAATCTTTTTTGATCAAGTAATAAATTAAATTAACAAAATCATTGGCAATGTAAATAAAGCACAATAAAATAACATACCAAATGCCTGATTCCGTTAAATGCGTGAAATGAAAACACATAACCTATCACAAATTTAGTGGGTACTTTAACAGCTGCAGGAATCGTTGATGTTACAGCAACAATAGTATCAGTATCCCAATTAAGGCCAATGAGCGGGCCTGTTACATATGCAATACTAGCACCATATAAAACTATTAAAAGGAGAAAACCATTTAGACACTTGATATTTATTATTCTTAATTACTATAAATAGATCTTTAATTCTCTTGGTTCTTACCGGAAGCCAGTCCAGCACCAGTAGCACGATGAGTAAACGACAAAAGCGCTGTAAGTTGTGGCTGATATATATGCCAAGGGGATACAGGACGCACGCTACGTTGAGAAACGAGCAACTTTTCGTGCTCGGGTGTTGCGTTTGCAACGGAAGCAGCGAATCTTGCGTTCTTTCTGTATGAATTATCGCAGAGATTAAAGAAAATTTTTAAGATGTGATTTTTTATATTGCAAATAAATGCAATTACATCATAAAAGAAATTACAAATAAACCTCCATAATGCGAGGGTCGAGCGTTTAAAAAGAATATATATTAACAGTAGTATTCTATCTAAAGCGTCATAAAGCTCGGGACTGAGCATAAAAGTTCTTGGACTTTTCTTTATACCTATAGGAGTAGGAGGTCGCAACTATAGAGGTTTATGTGTAAAAGAATACCTCAACGACAAGGAAATGGCTGGAGCATTTTTCGAGAATGTAACGTGTAAAGCGTCTTCATTTTACAAGATAAACTGTGATTTAGTAAAAAAATATAAAAAATTATCCAGTAATAAGGGATACAAACTTGGGCTAATGCTTCTAAACGGTTGAATCAATCGAGTAACGTACATTTCAGAAGAGGGAAGCTTCACATCACCTTATTTTGATAATCTCAACATTTTTTGTGTTGAAATGTCATGTGAGTTTTTGGAGATGATGTGTAAAAAATTTCTTCATTTATTCCAACTAAAATTTCAGTATATTCATAAATAAAGTAAATTGCAATGGCTCAGAGATTAACCTATAGACGTCGACTGAGCTATAACACCCGTAGCAATCGGGTGAGAGCTACTAAAACACCTGGTGAATTTTTTTCCTTATGTGCATGATGTGAATTAAGGAACTTTTAAGAATAATCGATTTTGTGAAATCTTTTTAAGGTGGTAAATTAACTTGGCTGTATGAAAAGAAGCCAGCTAAAGGTCCTCATTGCGGTGATTGTGGTATCAGACTCGCCGGGGTAAAAATAGACTATAATTATATAATTAGACTGAAAGAATATTAATAAAATTACGATTGATTATAAGATATTTCTCGATTGACAGATTCCTGCATTGAGACCACGACAATACGCTAAAATTTCTAAACGTCAAAAAAACAGTTCAAAGAGCTTACGGTGGTAGCCGTTGTGCAAAATGTGTGAGAGATCGGTATGTATTGAGAAATAGATACTATATTCTTTTATTTCATTCTTTAATATCTTTTTATTTATTATCCAAACAGTATTGTTCGGGCATTCTTGATCGAAGAACAAAAGATTGTTAAAAAAGTACTCAAAGCTCAGAGCAAACCTGGGGCCAAAAAATAAAGCAATTAATAATAGTAACTAAGTTGACAGTAATAACTTTTCGTATTTTTGCGCCGGAAAATCGCTATTGAATTGGAATCGTTATTCTTGATGGATGAATTAAAATTTATTTAATGCACGCTTATATAAATACCACAACGAAGTATCTATTGTTCTTATGAAATTTAGTTATCAAATCTTGAGTATGATAAAGATTTTATTATTATTATCAAATATTGCTATATCACAATTCAATTATTATAATATTTTTTTTTTGAATTATTTTTTTAAAATCGCCTAGCTGAAAGCCATTGATTTGCATTTAGAAATTGAGATGCTAAATCGTTAGATATGTCACCGCTTGATTTCAAGTTCTTGACAGCTACGATCACCTATTCATGGTGAAAGGACAGAGAAGTTTAATAAGTAAATAAATAAATAAAATTATCGTATATTCTATTAAACATACTTCATCCCAAAAAGAGAATCCGTCACTCAAATCAGATTTCACATTGATACACGCAGTGAACATCTCTTCCAATTTCTTCAATGTTTCATTGATATGAAAATCTGAAATCTTGTTATCCTTTTCGATGGATAAAGTGACTATATTTTCGAGATATGTTTTAACGATGATTCCTAATCCAGTATTCACGTCTTGCACAAATGGCAAACTATAAATTATTTTTGATTTAGATAAAAGATAAAGTTTTTTTTTTGTATTGGCTAAATTATAATGAATTCAACAATCGAACAAACCTTAAGGCTATATCTAAATAATCACCCCTTTCGTTCAAGCAATCACGATTTAAGAAAGTCGATAAGGTAAGCATTTCACACAGATTACGTAATGATCGATTGAGTGCTTTAACAAAACTATTGAATGCTAAAAGTTCTCTGTTGATAGGTCCAGCCCAAGGTATCCCCTATTATATTTATTGATTAAAATTAAGTTACAACAATATGAATAAATAAATATCAATAATCAATCACCTGGTAATTAGGCGATACCATACTCAAAGTTCGGGAGATTAACAAAATGTGTTTTCTTTCCTCTTCTAAATAAATATCGAAAGAATGGTACATAAAAAATTAAATTCATTTCATTATAAAGATAAGAATGATCAAAAATAATTACCAGTGCCAACTGTTGGGCTCCCAGAATACGAGCGACTATATGGATTTCCACTTAAATATCCAAAACGGATCAATTCAAGTGCGGAAAATAATTGTTCTTGATGTGAAGAATTGGATTTTGAAGATCCAAGAGCTTTTTTGAATGCAACACCCCATGGAGTATGTGTATGTGAAGAAGTTAGAAACCTAGTTATATGTAATAAATAAAAAGTCTTAATCTTATTCAAGTCAATGAAAAAGCTAAATGCCTATCTTCCTTACTTTCGCAATTGTAGTAATTCCCATTGAACATTTGCCAAAATTTCTTCTTTGCTATCAATAAGCTTATCATTATTTTTCGGCATAATGGTTTTCGCTGCTTGATCATCAGTCGCTGTTGCTCTTAGACAAAAAACAAAATCAATATTAGAAGTCTAAATGAAAAGATAAGACGGACGATTATTAATTAATACACAAAGCAGCAGCATACTTGAGAAAAGAAAGAAAAAGTTGTCAACCTTTTGTGTCTTTCTTTCATCCTCTAATCCTCTTTCCAATACATTCCATGTACTCAATATTTCATGTACACTCGGGTTATGATTTAAAATATGTTCGACATTTGGCTCAAACCAATAGAGACTTACAACCTTTCTCGATTGATAAAACTGGTGTAAAGGCTGAGTGAGTAAGCCCATGGCTTGTGCGCGCAATTCGAGTAATTCATTGAGAAACCTTCGATATTCTTGAGTTTCACCGTTACATAGCGGCGGATTTTCGATAAGCACTCCTGAGATCAATGTATTAATAACCTATATGAAAAGAATAAATTATGGATTAACAATCGATATAATCAACGAAAAAAAATATATTTTATATTCAAACCTGAGGAGACATTAATCCTTTTGATAAATAATAATAAATCTCATCTGGTAATCGATAGCCAATAAATTCATGTATATCACTGGGCGCATTTTCTGCGTTTAATGGCTCAACTCTTCCCTCGTCAGTCAACACTAGATGATATTTTATGGCACATCTAGTTCGACAGAATATGTCCATATAATTTTGTTTTATTACTCCTGCATGATCTGCGTAATTTTGTACCGCATTAAATCCAGTTTTGTATTGCTTAATCAGATCGTGTACGCTTTTAAAGGTGAAACTGGAAAACTCGGTATTAAGAGGTGGGAATGTGCCGCAATATTCAAATCCAGCTAATATACAAACATCAAGAAATTGTTCATCAGAGATCGCAAGATCATTCAAAATTGTTTTTTTGCTGAGCCAATTATATGTTCCCTTCTGTAATGAAGAAAGCAATAGATGAGAATTATTGAATATAAAAGCGGTAGAATTAAAAATAAAAAAATTGAAAAAGACGGAAGGAATTCCGCGATGATAAGCGCAGACCTCCAAATCTAAATTAACGATAACTTTCTCAACATCGTACATTAACAATTCTGATCCTCCATATATGGCATGAATGAATCCTTTAGGATGACGTTCCAAATAGACCAACTATAATTTCAAAAGAGAAAAATAATCATTATATTAGAACAAATAATATTAGAGGAATATAAAAAACCCATTTAAGTAGTAATTAAATAAGAAGTTGTTCATAGAAAAGAAACGTATTTTCGATTCACTTGATTTTTCTCTATGTATATTTACACAATGAGAAAATGAGAAGGAATGTATTAGAAAAAACCATACCTGTCCCCAAGCAGAATATGGAGCTCGCATAAATTCAACATCATTTTCTTTTAACACGTTAAAAACGAAATAGAGAAGATCAGGTTGATGAATTGAGTTTGATGATGCCCAAGTATTATATGCTTGATCATGTTTTCCCTTTTCATAAGCATCCCAAGCTTGTGCACGTTTGTTTGGTCTGGTATCTTCTGTCGAAAAAGGTTTATCTTTACGAATCACACTGAGCCCATTAAAAACGAAAAATGGAATTATCCCAAATGATCTAGTAATTGACGATTTTACGGTTGAATTTAAAAGTATAACATATATTGTGATAATGTTTTAATTTACAAAGACCAGTAATAATACTTTAATAATTCTAATTCCTTTTCGATGGCGCCTCTTAAACCTATTGGTATCCCACCTATGGCAGCTGTAGCAGGTTCTTTCCCTGAATTCTGCAAGAGTTTACGTAACCAAAAAGCACCCTCAATGCCAAGACGTGTTTCCTTCAAAAGATTCAACGATGATTGATGTTGAAGACGACGTTCGTTCGTAAAAACTTGTCATTAAAAAATCTAGGTATTAAAGCTCGGTCCCTCCTGAAAATTATAAGCTGTGTAATAACAGTATTAATCTAACAAAACTTACTATCAAGATGTCTTATCATGTCGTCAATTGCAAATGTGTAAACGAGTTAGCGTTAGCAATTTCTAATCTTTTTTTTGATCACCATAATCATCACCAATCAAGGATCACATTACTTTTTTCACTAACAACAGATCCAACGTCGCAGACGTTTATTTTCTGGATGACCAAGGTCAATCTAATTAACGGTGTTTGGAAGTTATTTTATATCTTGGATTTCTAACTATGTGTTGTTTTGGAATGAAGTTTTCGCATTAAGTTTTCGCATTAAAAAACCAGCAACAGCAATCACTTGAAGGAGTGGACTCTTCAGTCTTTTATTAGATAACAGATCTATGTATGCATGATTCTTCATAAAAGCTTTTTATCATGTATTAATCGTAGGGTTTGTACGGGCTACGCTCATAAATTCTTGTTCTGTTTAATCATCGAACGGAAAAAAGACAATTAGTATAGAAGTGTAAAAATGCGAAGTGATCAATGCGCGCACGAATCGTCCAACCTTAAATCTTTTTGTTTGTTTGCGGAATTTAACCTTTTTTGATTATTGATGTTAAATTTGAGATAAAGTTAGTTTGATATCTTATTAAACTGAACCTTTATGTTTTATGTCAAACATCTGAAGATCGAGATCTCCCTGAATATTTTTAACTGAAGATTCACCCGCATAAAATTCAAGATCCGCAGCCTCTTGATCTCCATTGCCAATAATACTAATACTACGTCCCTCCGTTAATTAATTTATGAGTGGCTTATTTACTATATTTTAGAATTGGCAATTATAGGATTTCCAGAGCTTAGTCGAATCGCAATGGAACATATTTTGTTAACAATTTCATCTCAGATTACAAGTAAACTTCGGGCTATTTAGCACCAAATGATCTGCCAAAAAATTTCTAAATTAGGATTTAGGACTTTCGATTTAGCGTTAAGACACTTTAGGACTTGCAAGATAATTCAAAATCCGAAATATTTAGGATTTGAAAAGTACATTAGCCCGAATCATTAATATAGACTATGCATATTTATTTATGATATTCGTCATGCACTCTTCACACTGTATTACACCAGATAGATGTTAACACAACAATAAAGAAAAAAGAATATCGATATGTACGTGTAAATACAAATTCGCATTCTGAGTAATGGCAACATTTGCTACCGACAAAGATTTGAGTATACATGTTCAAAAAGATGTTCAATTAGGAGTTGATAATTTTTTCGCGACTACACGAACTCAAGATAAAGTTGGGCAGAATGGACTTCCGTTGACGCCTGCTACTACTGAAATTGTGGGTAGATTTCAGTTGTTGAAGGCGGGTATTTTTTTTTATTTACTGGTATTCGTTATTTGGTTTCTAAAAGTTAGTTTGCATTGAAGAAATTTATCATTTTCTCTTTTCATTTGTACCTATAGACACTTTTGCATCCTGATTTATGTGATTATGTTGAAATTGTCAAAGGAAAACATGGTGAATTGGAATACATTTTCTAATTAAATGTTAATTTTATCATCGAAACGTAAAAAAACGACTATTAACAAGAATAATGGGATACCTATATAGATCGATTATTTGTGATATTTGAATATCATAATGATAATTTCGGAAAATTGTATAGTCAATCTGAAGATGAAAACACGCATATTTTAAGGTATATTTATATACTTAAAAACTGAATTTTATTATTCGTAATGGAAGGGTTAGTATACAGTTTTTCTGAGTTTCATTATTAAACGATAATGGCTTTTAGTGTAAGCATTGATGAAATACGAAAATGGGCATTTCAAATTCTGAACGCATTAAGTTACTTGAATGATAATAATATCATACATCATAATTTGGCACCACATAATATATTGTTAGATGCTGAGGTAAATTGCATAATTATCATGAATAGTATTATTTTTGTTTTTATATATATATATATATATATTTAAAATCATATGTTATAAATTTAGAGGAATGTGAAATTAGCAGATTATGGATTTTTTTATATGACTGGTGAAGGTGCGGACGTTGATTTTCCTATTGGGTAAGCATGACACCAGAAATCACACGACATTTTAACTTTGATTTTTTGAATATTAAAAAGAAATATGTTTTTTTCAAAGCTATCCTCATTATTTACCTCCCGAAGCGATTTATAAATCAGAATCACCTTATAGCAGTGGAAAGGTCAGCCAGTTAATAGTATGTCTTAAATATTAAAATTTAATATAATAGTAACAGCGATTATCCTAATAATAATGCATAATAAATAGATTGATGTATGGTCAATAGGAGTAATATTTGCCGAACTGTTTACAAGCTCTTTATTTTGGGAAGGAAACGACAAAGATATTGAGAAAATATTCACATCACTATGGAAACTGCAATTACTTGGGAAAAACCAAGAGGATGAAGAAGTATGGGATAGTTCCTCGGTGTGTCAACTTGGAATCAACGAGGCAATAGTGAAATTTCTTCAGGGCACCTCTTCGGAAGAAGAGGATCCACAATATGTGGAATTTCGACAATTTATTCGGGCATGTTTGGAGGTGGATGGGTCGAATAGATGTACACCTGAACAATTGTTGTCCCATGAATTTTTTACCTCGCTTCACAAACAACAACAACAACAACAGCAGTCTATCGTTGATAACTGTTGGTGGAAGAAACCTTTTCTTCAGTCTCAATTACTAGACATTGACGAAGACAATAATCCAGTAATAACAACAGCAAATAATAATCATGACAATAAAATGACTACAAAGGAAAATGACGTTCTCTATGGAATCCCTTTATCACAAATATACTATTTTTGGAAATTAGCAGGCGGTGACGTAGAGTCCGAACTAGCAAAAAGAGGACTATTACTCAGCACGCCTCCAATTGAACGAATACCAAGAACCGTCAAAGTATTCGACGGAAAAGAAGAAGGCACATCAAAGGACACTGCTTTTCTCTTCTCGGATACAATTTATACGCTGTCGCTAAAAGAATTACGACAACGATTGGAAGTGGCGACTGGACCAAATAGAGAGCCGTTTGAATGGGACACTGATTATTTTCTGGTGGTTGATACTGATGATATGAATTTCTTGGTGGATTCAATGACTGAAGATAATAATACTAATAGTAGTAATAATAATTATCATAATTCCGAGGATTTATTTATTGATCAATATTTGCTTTCTAATAATTCGCATAAAGTTAATTCAAATATTAACAATCATAATAATTATAATAATAACTATATAAATGATTCTAATAACAGTAATAATCATAATAATATTAATAACAACATTAATAATGTTACAAGTGGTATTAATTCAAATAACCACAATAATTCCACAACATACACCAACGGACAATATTCATCCCCTCCCACTTCAAATAATGTAAAATTACCATTACTTATTCGCGAAAAAGACGTCGGCTATCAATTTCAGCGTGTTTCGCTGTTCAGCGAGTTACTACGAGAATATCCCACATCACGTGACGAGATTATACATCATGCAAAAGTTGATATTCCACCGTTTCTACGCGGGAAAATATGGGCTGCTATACTGGGAGTGATGGGCGATTATCAGACAGTATATGATGCTTATGATAAAGAGGCTGAGCAGGAAAATGCAACGGATCGTCAGGTTGGTGGTTATTATTTTATAAGAATTCAAATTTATTAATAATTATTATTAATGTTGTTGTTGCTCAAGTAGATTGATGTTGGTAATTCTAATTTTATTTATTTATTTATTTATTTATTTTTTGATATCGTTTATATATAAATTAAATCTTTAATTAAATTAAATTTGATTAACTTGAATGCAGATGTACCACGATGTCATCAATACCATCAACTATTATCCTCTCCCGTAGGTCACGAGAAACTAAGAAGACTCTTGAAATGTTTTGTCACGGCAAATAGTAAATTATTAGTTTATTGGCAAGGTAATTTATAATCTATGACATTCTTGGAAATTATAAATCACAACAGTATCATAGTAAATATGTTACAAATATTAATCAATTAATTCACATATTTCATCCAGGTCTTGATTCATTATGTGCACCATTTCTTACGCTAAACTTTAACGACGAAGCATTAACGTTCAATTGCCTACAAACATTCATCCCGAAATTTCTCAAAGATGTGTTTTTGTTTGACAATTCAGCTGTCATACAGGAATATCTTGCTGTGTTTCGGCATCTCTTGTCATTTCATGATCCGGAACTGTCAAGTCATCTAAATAAAATTGGTTATTTACCTGATTTGTATGCTATTCCGTGGTTTCTGACGTTATTTACGCGTAAGTATAAAGAAAGTTTTGATTTCATAAATACAACTTTCGTTACGTGTCTATTTATCTACATATATCAATAATCTGCAACAAGAATAACCAAACATTTCGCAATCTATACATACAAACTATTAGACGTATTTCCGCTAGACAAAACATACCACCTTTGGGACAAGCTACTCGTTGGCCCCTCTTCACTTCCTCTATTCGCTGGTATCTCAATACTGCGGCAACTTCGTGACGTGCTCCTCAAGTCGGAATTCAACGAATGTCTCACGGTATTCTCGGAATCGTTTCCCGAGGTTGATATTGAAAAGTGTATTCAGTCCGCGTTGTCGATGTGTAAAGTTACGCCGCCGTCAGTTATTTTTCGAGTGCATGATCCGAATTCGCAGCCGCATCATCAGTCGAAAGATGAGGAATTTCAAGTTGCTGTATGTGTTTCGTTATTCCTTGTATCTAGATTTTTATTTTGTAATATTTGTAATAATTACATTTACATATAGGATCATCCTAATCAACGATGGTGGGAACAACCGATTCCCGTAGAAGTAAAAAAATCTGAACTTGCTCCACGAATATCGCTTAAAGATTTGGTGAAATTAAAGAATTACGTGTTAGTTATCGACACACGTGGAGAGGAAGAGTAAGGGTATTTTTTATCTCTAATTTTTATAATTTTAATCAAATATAATTAATTCTTATTTATCTTAGATTCAACCGTGGTCACTTCCCACTAAGTTTCAACGTGAACCCTGCTCACCTAGACTACGTTGCACAGACACTACGACAACAAAAGAAAAAGTATCACATAGTGTTAGCCAAGCGTGGGGATTCCGGACCACAGGTCGGTAGTTAGATTCATATATGAAAAATTAAAAATGAAATATGGAAAATAAATTAATTCGAATTTGCCCTCTAACAGTTTGCCAACGACCTCGTGAACGCATGTTTTCCACGCGTAGCCGTCCTAACCGGCGGCATCGACGTAATGCGCGTAGACGCAGCAGAAGGAGTCCCTGTGTGTTCGTGTCGACCAGTGAAAAACAACGTGCCTGGTTCAAAAAATAATAAAGAATTCCCAATCACGATATCAAAGTGTAAAAAGAATTTAATGAAACGGGAATAGAAAGAATTATATAAATTATTCATAATGAAAAATATTTATACATATTTATATACCTATATACGGTGTAATTTTAGAGATGTTCATTATTTGAGGTAATTATTGTCATGTGAAATGGCCTTACGAGAAAAATTAAGTTTAACCTCTATATTTACTTTTTGTTTTCTTTTATGCCATGTGTAATTAAAAATGTGTTTTTTTTTAAGATAGAATTCTTTTAATTCCAAAAATCTTTATTATATGTACTATTAATTTTTTACTTTATTTTTTTAAATCTGGGTTTAGACAACTAAAAAAAAACCTATAGAAGAAATATATCTTTTACACAATCACACAAAATTAACCTCGTGTATATGATCCCACAGAACTTGTTTATAACCACCAAGTTGCGATCTAACTCATTTTACAGACAAACACCAAGATATTCAGGGAATAATGACCCATAATGTGCATGAATTTTTGAATTCTATGGTTCAAACTACACAAATAAAAAATCCACATTCACCCACGCCCAGTATACTTCCACTCACTCTGGTACTCGTTCCACAAACTTTTAAAAAGTTCTTTGCCGACCTTACCACACGCAACCATAATCAAATCACGTTCACGTTCGCCACACATATCGAGTAACGCGTACACGCCACTTTTTAGCGCGTCTCGTATCTGCGGCGAGAATCGGCCATCGACTTGTGCTCCGAGATACTCGACAATCGCAAACGGTACATATTTCGCAAACGCTTTTTGCGAGGAAGCACTAGTCGAATCAACTCGCTTATGATTATTATTATTATTGGTCGGTTGTTGAATGCTTAGTTGTTTTTTTGATATTATCATTAGTAATCTGGATAATTTCTCCGCGTCTGAGACTGATAATGGTTCTTCGGCATTATTATTGTTATTACTATTATAAATATTATGGATTTGACCGTGTAATATTTTATTATGTATGTTTTGTTTGGATTTTTTAGATAGTAGTATTGATTTCCGGTGAGATGAAAAATAAGTCGATGGTGATCCGAAGCAGTGAATTAATTTTTGCACGATAGTAATGAACGAAGGAAAAGAACTGGCTAGTTGTTCACGATTGTGTCTAATTAGATTGTGCATCAGACAACATGTCGCATCAAACATTTCTTTTATAGTTGTTTCTTTTGTTGTCCCTATATTTTTTGAATTCGCTGATGATGATAATGACGAGGATATTATTGTAATTGATGTGGATAACACTAACGAGACGTCATTTCCCTTTAGATGAAAATCCTTTGCCCAAAAAACAATATTATATAACAAAAAAATTAATAAAAAATGCTCTTCACAATCATCGGTAAAAAGAGTTCGCACCTTATTGGTAGCAATCGAAGCTAATACATTAAGCAATCGTATTCGATTATTCAACGATTTAGTAGTCTGCCCAATACTGCACAGTCCACTCAACATTTGCGTGAAATATTTTCGTAATTGTTTCTTTTGATCTATATCCAACCAAAAAAACAAAAGGAATTACCAAAGAAATTCATTCTTTCAAAAAAGCAAAATTAGAAGAAATCTTACCTTGTTTCGATTCCCTAAATATCAAATCGACGATGACGAGAAACACGGTAATCTCTTGTTCTATACTGTCGTTAAGTGAATACGGCAATTGATCATGTTTTTGCCATAAACACAAGACAATGGCTTCATATTGTTCATTAGACAATTTCTGAATGAAATTGCCGAATATGAGTTTTAGGTGTTCCGCAATAGGAACTATTATATAAAAGGAAGAGTAAGTATATTTAAAGGCATTAACTATTAAAAGTAGGCAATAATAACTTCTTATTACCTCTATCATGAACAATCTTCAGCATCACCCAAAACAAAGCCATAATTTTGGGAATAGAAACATCACTAACGGGAAGATCAAAATCCAAAGTCAATGAAAGGAGTGTCGTAGCAATTTCTACTAACTCTGAATTAAATGAGGAGTAGGCCAATAACAAACTATCTTTTTCTGATGATATATTATTATGAATAGGCTCAATAGCAATTCGGAGTAAGGGAACGGGTAAAACCAAGAATCGCGGCAATATTCTGAGTATGTCACATGCCGATGAATCACTGTTATTGTTGTTTTTTATCGCAAGTGCACTCGAAATGCGATGATACCTCAGTAAAATAGAATAAATCCTCAATATATTTTTCATTTGTGTAGATTTTTGTGCCCATATTTTTTGACTTGACCTATCATCGTTTTTCAAATTGTTTGTTGTACTATTAACCCAAAGTTCGAGAATCCTTAACAAATCTTGTTCTACTGAGACACACAATCCGGCAAATGAATCCCAAATTTTCTGTTCGTGATCGTGCATTCGAGTTAATCTTGCGATAAATAAAATTTTCGGTGTGTCGTTAAAAAGATTGAATTTGCAAGAATACTAGATAGAAAAAGACAGACAGATAGTATACCTGCTATTATTACTACTCTTTTCAAAATAATCCATACAAGCTTTCAAAAAATCTCCAAGAAATCTCAAATCGATATTATTTTCCAATTCTTTTTCATTTACAGAATTTATCCAGCTTGAAAACTGGTCAATTGGTGACAAAGAAATTTTCGAAAGTGTCTTGAATGTACTGATTACACCATTCCAATATTCATTATTGAATGGACAATCTTTATCGCGTGATCGGTTTAGAACTTGACTTTTATACCATGAAAATTCGTAAAGAAAAATTGCTATGAAAATACGTAAAACAATTTCTAAATTGCATAATTTATGTGTTCCCATAGCTTACTAGATGGTAGTGTACAATACTTCTCCGGTTATTTGAACTAAATTCGAGTAAAGTGAGGTTACGATATTTCCATCATCGAATTCATCCGAATTCTGTCGTGCTTCATTTATTTGTCGACTGTAGGAAGTGATCGAAGTCATCCACCACTCAATAAATTCTCCATGATGCCGCTGTTGTAATCATATTAAATTTACAATTACAAAAAATTTTATAATCAGAGTACCAAACTCCCCGTGAACAAACAAAATTTTCACTTACAAGAACACTTTCTCTATTCTCAATTTTAACAATTCTACTCGTCAAACTCCGACAAACCAAACTAAATTCCAATAAATCTTTCACATCGGCTAAATTCCTAACTCGAAATAAGGATAACCCTAATTTTTCGACGATGAATACCACTGCCAATATCGCGTCTTTTTCTCTTTTCTCAAAGTATTCGATTGGAAATATGAGCAAAGTGTGAAAGTACGCCGAGACTTTGGTAATTGGAAATAACGAAGATTCAGCTAGTGGTATTGTTAAGTCTGATTTAAAGAATGGCAACGACGATTTCCAAAATTTTGGTGATATGACAATAACCTGGTGTGTCATTGTTCGTGAAAGAGAGTCGAGTAAATCGGTGATGCTTGGTTGCTTTTTGTCTTTTATTTGTTGTTTGATGAAACCAAATAATTCTTCAAAGAAGGTTTTTATGAATACATCTTTTCATATAGTAAATCGTAAAAATATTTGGAAAGGTTAGCAAAATGTGATTGTATATGAAATAAAATAATGAGCGAAAATTCGAAATACCTCTTATGCATGATATCTCGAAAAATTGTGCTGATCGAGATAATTCTACACATATACTATGTAAATTCACTTCCTGAGGATTGATTGAACCCTGTGAATTCTTTTCATATATTAAGTTATTGACGAAGATTCTTATAATAAATCTGACAATATTTATCAATTCGCTTTCCTGGCATATATTACTGTATTTTGTAATTAGAAGAGTGGCATTAATTAGAAAAATGGAAAGAGTAAATCTTTTATTTATGAAAATTAATTTCATACCATACAACATCTAACCAATCATTAATTACAAGTTTGGAATTCGCAATCATAAAATTATCCTTGGTAAGGTCAATAAGTCGTCCGGTCCATGAAAAATGTAAGTTAGCGGTATCTTCTGAATTATTTAATAAAGTGTCGAGAACAGTCGTGATAAAGGCTCGAGATGAAATTTTGTTACTGCTATTATTTTCTTCGTTCATGATCCGTTGAAGATTTTGTCCTGACAACTTATTGCTACTGGTGAGATAAATATGTTGAAGAATACTTTTATTCTATTAAAAAAAAACAATATTTTTAATAATAATAGCACAAAAAAATTGGACTGAATCCATACACACCATGATAAGCTTCACTTTGGGTATTTTAACGTTTGACAAAGTTTCGAGTAATCCATCAACAAAATTCATAGCAGAATATATTTCCAAATAAGCAACCGAAAATAAATCCACCAGCGAACAATGTAAAAACAAAGTGGGCGCGACTATTCGATCAAGAAATGTTTCATGAATTGTGCCGAAACTCCGAGATAATGATGGTGATAACAATACAGACGAAATAAATCCATTAAATAATTTCTGAAGAGGTTCTTTTAATCGTTCGTTAAATTGAGGAGCGGTGGCAGATTTAAGAGCTTTCAAAAATTGAATAAATAACATGATTAACGGTTCAGGAGAAAATATTTGTGGATCTGCAGTATTATTATTGTCATTGATTGACGATAAATGCTCGTTTTCTGCATTGATTTTCCTCCGTTTCCTGGGACTCGATTTCTGGTGTGATGCTGTCGCCGTTTTGTCCCCCTTCAATCCCGAAGAGTATGTGCTGATTAATTCGTTTATGAAAACGTTTATAATTTCGTGTGCTTGAGCGATCGATACGTGCATCGTTGCGTTATTTGAGAATCTAAGAAGATAAGTTGTGATCAGTATCCAACAATTAACAACATTACATTAACAGAATCGTAAAATTAATCTTACTGGCTTAAGCATTCTCTACAGTATAAAGGCTTTCGTAGTAGTGTGTCAACATCGGCGTTTATGGTTTTTAAACCGTTAAAAATACATTGTAAGAATCGTTCCATTTCGCGCGATTTTGCATAAATCTCTATAATCGTAATTATTAAAGATCTACATTCACTATCACCATCAAGCGATGGCTTGCAAAAGTAACAAAATCATTTTATAAATAAAAAATTTAACCAGAATAAAATTTAATGCTAAAAACTAAGCTTACCAACAATAAATATTCACATAATTTCTCCATTTGTGGATCGACAACTCGATGATCAAGTTGTATAGCGTAATTTATTGTTTTGAAAATCGAAGACTGTATCTTTCCCTCTAAAATATATATATATATATATTGCATAGATCATATCATGAGATTGCAAACTAAATGAAAAAAACTATAAATAGTAAAAAGTTTATTTATTCACCTTTGAAATACAAACTTGCAAAACTCATAAGACGATCCATGAAATTTTGTAAGAACGCAAATTGTCGTAGCGAAATTTCATCGTTGGATGGTCGATAGACATTGTAATGTAAAAGTAATGAAAGCAATTGGTTCTGTGTCTCTAATGCTATTTGCAAAATGGCCATTTGTTCCTTTCCAGAAATTGGTAATGAGATCATTTGATTCAATAATGCTAATAATTCCACGAAAAAATTGAAGCCAAAAGCTCTTAGTTTGTCTAATGACAAGCGTTTTATCGGAGTGCGTATATAATCATTATTATCATTATTATTCTTATCATCATTATTCTTCGAGTCGTTTTTTTCGCGTATTTCTTCGAAAAAGAGCCGAAACAGCATTGGAAAGGCCTGCATTGCTAAAAGAATTAAGTATAATTAACTATAAATGTAAAAGAAAAATAATTGCCCACATAAACATACCAACGACGGAATTCGATAATTCGGCATGATCAGTTGATGAATTTCGCATCATATTTTGGATTCTGTCAAAAAGAAGTTTCTGATAACCGGGTGCTATTGGAGCTTTTTCGGTTTCGTTACTCTTATCTGACATATTTTCTGAAGACAATTTCCATGATTCATCACGTTCACAACTAACATATTCTAAAAGATGTTCCTGTTGAAAGAGTCCAAATCGTATAATGCGATCAATATGTTCAAGAGTCTTGTCAAGTATGAATTCGGAGTCATCTTTATTTTTATTATTGTCTTCATCACGTATAAAAGATTTTTCCTTTATTTTAATTAATACAAGATGTGCTTGTAGTAATACATCCAGAAGTTTGCCAAAGACTATGTTATATGCCTATAAATGATAAAAAATATTAACATATATTTATACACATTTATGTATATGAATATTATTTTCACCTTTTTTGGATTCGGGATAGCTAGCAGAACTTTTTCTAAAGACCTCAATACGATCGACGAAAATTCTATAATCAATTTCCGCGAAGAAATGAATTTACTCGACAGCAAAGAATTATTCTCCTCATCATCAAAGGAACGATTTACAAAGAGAACTAACGATCGATAAAGATTGCATGTATTCAGTCCCAGTGTAGTTAAATGATCTAACGTTGGCCGATACATAGTAATATTTAATGAATTTATCGAAAATGGTGTTGTAAAATAGCCGAAACACTGCACAACTATTCGAAGTAGACTGGAAGACTGTTCAAAAATATCCAATGTTGCTGTTGTCTTAGTTGATATGATAGAAATATCATTTGAATCTAGAATTCTTTTCGCATTGTCTAAAGATGAAGCGATCGAATTCACCACAGCAGAAAATGCTATTGTTATTGGTATTTTATTAAAGGAGCTTGCAAGTATTCGGATTGTTCTGATTGTGTTTGTAGTGTTTTCTGAGTCTACGAATGATGGTGATGGTGATGACGATCTTACGTAGTCCTCGAGGCAATTTTTTAACATTGTGCATGATGATTCATAAGAGTCAATATAATCAATTTCACGAATTACTACAGTTTGCCATTTTCTCGTGATGAATTCGAGAATATCTTGCATCAAGATCCAATACTCTTTATTTAAATATGCTGGTGAAATTAATCGTGTTTCTCCAAATCTTTTTAATGTACAAGAATTAATTTCATTAATAATCATTTACAAATATGACTCAAAACTATTAACGCACCCTGGTTGTTGCTGTTGCTCACCGCCAGTCTTCCCTCCCACAGACTTTACTAAACTCGAACTAACCCATTCTGCTAAAAAGACTTCTTTATGAGGAAACACGTCGATTTCGCATTCTTGTTTCCCTTTCCAAATACTCTTGGCGATTTTTATTTTCTCGTTACTTGAGAGTGTGTTGCTTTTTAGTGCTTTTACTAATGTTTCATATGACGAAAAAGAAATTTCTGTGCTCATCGTCAGAATACGCAAATGTTATAAAATCTTATCTCGATCAACAAATTGCATTTTAAACATACTAGAGTTTATTTTACTAAAAAAAAAATGAATGCACCAGATCGATTCGAGTTGTTCATTCTTCCTGATGGCGTCAAAAAGTTTGTTTCTGTTTCCATCCCTGAAAGTTATTCTGGGAGACAGCAATGAACCAAATTGCTACCTCCTTGCTAATATGTTACAATATCTATCTTAGAATTTCATATGTCCCAGACCCTAATGTTGATAAAGCCGCAACATTTACAATAGAAAAAGAAGATCACACAATCGGAAACTTAATACGATAGTAAAGTATCATTCAGTTATCCATTTGTTCGCGGTTTGCCAAAAATTGCCATTTATGTTCCTATGGATAAAAAAGCCAACTTTTAAAAGAGAATCAAGTCACATTTGCCGGCTACAAAATGCCACACCCGCTAGAACATCATGTAACGGTAAAAGTGCAGACTGTCAAAGAGACTGCTCCGGAAACTATGATGGCAAAGGCGCTTAACGATTTAATTGGGTTGACTGGACACTTGAGGCAAAAATTTGTGGTGAACAAAGCTTTTTTATTTACTCGATATATTTTCAAAATTGAAGTTCGAGAAAATTTAGCTTTTGATTTAATAATTTATATTTCTTTTAGGAAGAACTAGCTAAAGCTAAAGCCGCAAGTATAAGCGGTGACACCCTCCTAATCCCAGAGCATGATTCACTTCATCATCCCCATCATCCACAACAAACAATGCCTCCAACCTTGTCTGCTCCGTCGAACGTTGGCGGTGGTGCCGTGGCTAATTTGCAACAGCATGTGGATATGGACTTTTGAAGAAGAGGAGACGAGGAGGCAAGAGTTTTTTTAGCTTCCCCAGATTTGTATTTCTTTACATCAAATTTTTGTATTTGTTTGCCGTTTTCTCGGTATACTGAAAAATTCGGGTTTAGCTTATTGATTTGTTTTAGATTTATCGTTATGCTATGTATTACAAGAAATATTTAAATTCTTTCGACTAGAAACAATTAATATAATACACTCATCTTCATTGACTATATAGTAATGATAATTGAATATATCAAATACAAAAATGCCTTTGTATATCTTAGTAAAATGTGAGTTGTAGTTATTTAACTATTCAAATCTTGATACGCAAATAAAAAAATAATATAGCATTTTAGGCGAAATTTATTCTTTCTTCTCGAGCGGAAAAAAATAAGAAAAATTACAAATCTGATTAGGAAAATGGACAACATTAATAATAATAATAATAATAATATCGTTAAGCAAAACCAGCAAGAAGAACATGAGGCTTTCAAATGGGAAATAAGTGGTTTTTCTCAAATACGGAACAACATTCACATTAACGACGGCGATAAAAATCTTTTGAGTCGTAATGAGCAGCGGTCTGCCAGACCGAAAGTTAGCGAGTTGAGGAACAATCACGCAGAAAGAACGAATGAACATGAACATGCTCGTTATACAAAAGAGAGAACTTCTCTTTATTGGAAGAAACAGGCAAGGATAAATGCTGAGTTTTCTGGAGAACAACCGAGACATAATAACAATAACAACAACAACAACAACAACAACAACAACAACAACAACAACAATAGCAATAATAATAATAATAATGGTGGTGGTATTCGTACACGTTGGCATACTACTAAAAAATGGGGAAACAATAATAGGAATTATACTTATCATTATAGAGAATCGGATTCATTTGATTTAAAGACTCGATCAACATCGACATCAGTTCGAATTTCATTCAACAGAACTAAAATTGTCAGAGACTTCAACTTTGAAGATTCGAGGGACAATAACGACAATAATCGAGGAAAAATGACGCAAAACTCTAATTATAATCAATACGCGTATTTTCAAAATCAATTATTATTCAACAATAACAACAATAATAATAACTACCACTACTACAATTATAACATTAATAATGATATTAGTATGAACTCGTCATCAACATCTTCACAGAGTTCACTGATAATTCAAGAAAATCCACAGATCATAAAAATCAATATATTTGATTTCGATGGTACATTATTTTGCTCGCCTCTTCCCAATCCAAAATTATGGAATAGTCGATTGATTGGGCGACTTATGAATGTTAATTTAGTCGGAAAAGGCTGGTTCCAAGAGCCACGCAGCCTAGATACTTCATTATTTCCAGAGAAAAATGCGTGGCACAGTTGGTGGAATGAAACGACCATATCTTTTGTGCAGCAATCGATATCTGATCCAAATGCATTGACTGTTCTATTAACTGGGCGACAATATTCACCCTTTCACGAAAAAATTAAATCTATGCTATTATCACGAAAACTTTTTTTTGACGTGATTTCTTTAAAACCTGATGATTCAAAAATCCAATGGGAACTGATGTATCGACAACCTCAATTATCAGAAAAATTCAAAGGTAAAGTCACAGATATACCCGCGAATTACACCACAATAATCTATAAAAAAGCTCTGATTCAGGGACTCGTCAAACATCATCCTTCCGTGCGAGAAATAAGTATTTGGGAAGATCGGCAGAGACACGTACGGTATTTCAAAAGATTTTTAGATGATTTTATTGAGCAAGGAATAATCGAACAAGGAACTATTCATGTTGTGAGGTGTAAAGAAAAGTATTTAGATGAACAAAGTGAAATCGAGCTGGTAAATAGCATGATCGAAGAAAATTTCATTGAATATGAAGATATTATTGTAGAAGATAATATCATCAGAGAAAATAATATCAAAGAAAATTCTGCGATAGAAGATACTAATGTAAATAATGACGATCACAACTCGATTGTGTTCACATAGGATTTTGCATTTATATATGTGACACAAAATCGTAGCATTTGATTAAAATACAGTATAAATCAGACATGCCAATTGGCATTGTCCAATTGAAAATAATTTTTATTGGTCAATTTCCATTACGTCATTTATATATATCTAAGTACCCTAGCCATGGCGAAAAAAAATTCTCGAATATGTGATCCATATGCCCCTTAAAATTGATTGACCAATCACCAAAAATTTCAAAACAAATGCTAATTTTTAAAAAATAGCTTGTATCTCAAACTCTTACCTATGAAACTGCCTTTTGTGTTATAACAAAAAAATGTTCCTTGTAAATTTCACTATTACATCTTGATCCACATAACT